CCTTCAGTAGTGACACCCGGGGCGGACCGCCCCCACTGCACCCCTCCCCCTTGCTACGCCCCTGACCCGGCCTGCTCCCTGAACACCACGCAGGAAAGGTGGAATACGTGAAAATAATACACTTGCGCAAGCATTCCCATGTTGCAAGAGCACACATACGCAAGTGTGAGTGGCATTCTGCCTGAATGGCATTGCAACATTTATTCCAGCGTGATTTAAATTAAATATTGTCTCTCTGGTGGTTTTCAAAACTGCTGCTGTTTGCTATTTAAAAAGTTTTGCTTTGTTATCTTTGCGGGTGTGCAGTTTCAATCAGTGTAATTCTCCTTGAGGGCACCCGTCAGGAAAAAAAAGTCAGTATATAAACCGTAGGGAAACATACTGAAATAAAAGAGAAGCATGTGACCCTTAAACCCACTGGAAAATTAAGGATCTGGATTCATGCTGCAATACCTCAGTGGCTCTGTTGGTGTGAGAACTAAAGTATAAACACACACCATTGTTCTGTGATAGCTGCTTGGGTGAATAAATTAAATGCTCTGGTGGGCTCAGTGAAGTCCCTAGTGGGCATCTGCCCACATGGCAGAAATAAACAGCATATATATATATACACACACACACACACACACACACACACACACACATGTATGCCCTGGCAGGAAAGTACTTTAAAGAGATAAGAAGTCGCAGTCAAAGAGTCAACTACTGGAACTATTCATTTTACACCGAAAGCTCTTTAGAAAATATGTTTGGGTTTTCAAAGATGTCTATCTAGACCTCACTCTCATTTCTATCATGAAATAATTTCTAGCTACATTTCATTCTTTCTTTTTCATTTGATTGATTGGTTTATAGGCTGCTATTCCACAATGAGTGGCTTAAAGCATTTGAGAATATCAGAAGAGCCTGCTGGATCAGGCCAATAGCCCATGTAGTCCAGCAACCAGAGGCCAATCAGGAAACCTGCGAGCAGGATCCGAGCACAAGAGCAACACTCTGCCCTCCTGTGGTTTTCAGCAATGGGCATCCGGAAACATCGCTGCCTCCAACTGTGCAGGGCAGAGCATAGCCATCATTGCTAGCAGCCATTGATAGCCCTCTCATTGATAGCCAGTGTGGTGTAGTGGTGAAGAGCAGTGGACTCGTAATCTGGGGAACCGGGTTTGCTTCCCCGCTCCTCCACATGCAGCTGCTGGGTGACCTTGGGCCAGTCACACTTCTCTGAAGTCTCTCAGCCCCACTCACCTCACAGAGTGTTTGTTGTGGGGGAGGAAGGGAAAGGAGATTGTTAGCCGCTAGGAGACTCCTTAGGGTAGTGATAAAGCGGGATATCAAATCCAAACTCTTCTTCCTCCTCCTCCTCCATGAATTTGTCCAATCATCTTTTAAAGCCATCCAAATTGGAGGCCATCACTGCCTCCTATGGGAGCAGCTTTTATCTGCCCTGAATCTTCCAACCTTCAGCTTCATTGCATGTCCACGAGTTCTCATGTTATGATGGGAGAGAAAGAAAAACTCTTCTCCACATTTTCCATGTCGTGCATCATTTTATAAACTTCTATCGTCTTTCTCACCTTTTCTCCAAACTAAAAAGCGTTGCATATGGGAGGGTGGTCCCAACAAACTTCTACAATCTGGTTCATGCATCTTGACAGGACAGGCTGCTTTCTACAAAAAAAAATCTAAACACCATAGTCATACCAAAGATATATATTCACCGTTTCTAGCTTCAGACACACACACACAACCCACACAGAAAGCTGGACAGAGGAAGCAAATGGAATCACAGAGGGAAGAAATGTGCTCTGAAATCACTGAACCTCTTTGTGGTAATGTGAACAATGTTCTCCTGCGGGCTGAGGTGGGAGAACCTCATAACCCCATAACAGCATGTTTTGTTTTACTTTGCAGCTGTTGTTTTCGCCATTTATAAAGCAATAGCCACAACAACCGCCTCTGCGAAGCCACATCTCCTTTGTTCCCTCGATAGTGGATGCAAGGTCATGCTCTCCTCCTCTCCATTTAGCCCCTTCGGGGAGGGGGAAAAATCTTGCATTGACTGCCTGGGTTTCCACAGACATTAGTTGATCGAGGTTATGCTCTTCTGAATGAGTCACCTTATGGTTAATCACCTATCCTTACTCCTTCTTGCTGCTGCCAAGATGGAAATGGCTCACCATTTCTGGTAAGCGGAAGCCTTCTCAGAAAGTAGGCAAGGAAAGAGAGTGATAACAATAAATTATAACCTTGAAACCTTTTTTTTAACTGTTTCTAATTCTTTATTGCATTTTTTAAAAAATTACAAAGAAAGCGTAAATTGAACATTACATCAGATATCCCAAAAGAAAAAAAAAATACAAAGGAAAAAATATAAATATAAAAAGAAAATAATAAAAAAGAATTAGTCAGGTACACAATATTATTGAAAGGATACAAATGCTAATTTAAATATTCTATACACCAAGTTCTCAGAAAGAAATACATTTTTAATCCTTCTTTTCTCTCTTTCTTTACGGTCACTTTCTTTCTGTTCCAGGAAATTAGTTTGGATCCCTGCTGTATTGGTTGACTTCCCTCTATCTCTTTGTGGCTTCAACACTTCTCTTAAGTAACAAATATTCTGTATTCATTTATTAAAATCAGTTGTTGTTGTTGTTGTTGTTGTTGTTGTTTTTAAAAAAAAGGTAAAAAAAGGAATGGGGTTGCTTTAAAAACTACCTGACAAAATATGGTTCCAAAAACAATACTTGGTTGTGCTTAGATTAATGTCACAGATATAATGGAAAAAAACAACCTTGAAATCTGGGTGGCTTCTTCACTTCATCAAAACCAGGGGATAGATGTGCAGGACTCTAGGGCATGAGAACTGAAACTTAGGTAAGGTAGCTCAGCTGCAGTACATGTCAGAAGGATGTCACACGTGGAAGCACTTGGAATTTAGTATGCATCCCAGTGGAGCTTGGTGCCTGATGGAACTGGTAGGGTAGAAGACAAGGAGGCCAACAGTAGGTGGCGCCAGAGCAAGTGTCTGGCAGAGGCAGAGCCAATGTCCTGCAGACATTACCAGTTCTGGTTTTGTTCCCATCCTTCTCCCTGCCAAGCTCTGCAGGCGGCAACACTGAGACTAAGGAGAAGAGGAAAGCTGGTGGCCAATGCCACACCCCCTGGACTGGTTGTATGTAAGGAAGTGGGTAGGTGGCAGCTGGCTGCCAGCAGACTGAGCTTAGGCCAACAATGCCCCATTTGTCCTAATGGCCCAGCCTCCACTAATTCATTTGTTACAAGTTAGTTATAATTAATTATCCCAAACCTTATGGTGTACTCATTCTCATATGTGCCACTGAATCTACATATGGCTCCCCCAGACACACAATTCTTATTTTTTAATCTTTGAGGGGTCTCATTTTACTTAACTCATACTGAACGTAAATTGCATCTTTATAGTGGCGCCTTCCCTGTGGAACACCCTCCCACCAGATGTCAAAGAGAACAACAACTACCAGGCTTTTAGAAGACATCTGAAGGCAGCCCTGTTTCGGGAAGCTTTTAATGTTTGATGTATTATAGTATTTTAATATTCTTTTGGAAGCCGCCCAGAGTGGCCGGGGAAGCCCAGCCAGATGGGCGGGGTATAAATAATAAATTATTATTATTATTATTATTATTATTATTATATGTGGCTTCCCTTGGCCTTTTTGCTACAGCTAATATTGCCTCCCAATATATTTGCATTATGATGACAGCTCAGAGGCTGCGGCTACTACGGAATTCAACTGTTAGGTTGGTAAGTGGGACAGCTCAATGGGGCCATATGTCACCAGTCCTGACCTATTCAGTGTGTTAGCAGACCTATTCAGTGTGTTAGCAGTAGTACAGGTAAAGGGGTAAAGGGGACCCCTGACCATTAGGTCCAGTCGTGACCGACTCTGGGGTTGCAGCGCTCATCTCGCTTTATTGGCCGAGGGAGCTGGCGTACAGCTTCCGGGTCATGTGGCCAGCATGACAAAGCTGCTTCTGGCAAACCAGAGCAGCGCACGAAAACACCATTTACCTTCCCGCCGGAGTGGTACCTATTTATCTACTTGCACTTTGTTGTGCTTTCGAACTGCTAGGTGGACAGGAGCAGGGACCGAGCAACGGGAGCTCACCCCATCACTGGGATTCGAACCGCCGACCTTCCGATCGGCAAGTCCTAGGCTCTGTGGTTTAAACCAAAAAAAAAACCTCTATCTTGACGTTATATTTTTGGGAGAGAGACAGCTTAAAAGGTGGTGTGGGATTAAAGCAAAAGCCAGAAATGCATTCTACTTGTATTGTGGATTTTCGTCAAAGTGGCATTTTAATAAAAGAACACAAATCAAGGAGAAATATCTTTGCAGGATGCTGGTCTGGGATGCCACTGTTCCTTGTGCACAATTCCAACAATCACTTGGCCCATAGGCTTTGAATCACAAAGATATAGCTTGAGCTATTCACAATGTGAGCAAGCACAATCCAATACTCTGGAGAGGGTATGCTGTAGAGAAGGAATGAACAGCAGAGAGTCGAAGCCTAAACAGTGCTTAGAAGTCACAAGGATTTCCAAAATAGAATAAAAGAATTGTAGAGTTGGAAGGATAGGTTTCAATTGATAGATCAGACCTCTCCATTCTGAAGGAAATCAGCCCTGAGTGCTCACTGGAAGGACAGATCCTGAAGCTGAGGCTCCAACACTTTGGCTACCTGATGAGAAGAAAAGACTCCCTGGAAAAGACCCTGATGTTGGGAAAGATGGAGGGCACAAGGAGAAGGGGACGAAAGAGGACGAGATGGTTGGACAGTGTTCTTGAAGATACGAACATGAGTTTGACCAAACTGCGGGAGGCAGTGGAAGAAAGGAGTGCCTGGCGTGCTCTGGTCCATGGGGTCACGAAGAGTCGGGCACGACTAAACGACTAAACAACAAGAGTTGGAAGGAACCAGGAGGATCATCTAGTCCAACCTGCTGAGAAGTGGGAATATTTTGCCCCACATGGGGTGCAAACCCACGACTCTGAGATTGAGAGTCTCATGGTCTACCAACTGAGCTATGAATGATGAGAGATGAAAAACGAAAAAGGCCGTGTGATAACCTCAGCTGGTAAACCTCAGAGATAACAGTATCTCTTGATCTTGAGACCAACACAGGAAAAAGTCTGGGTGAAAAATTAGGAGTTCCATCTTTGCTGTGTTCAATTTGGATATATCAACGAAGAAGCATGAGCATCGTGAAAGATCAATGTCATGGCATCACAAAAAGCTGAAGGTGGTGACAGGATTGCTGCTTTTAATCAAGAAGAACAAGATTCCAAGCAAACCACTTTGATTTCGATTCTCTGAAAACCCTTCGCTGACAGCAAATTCATTTGCATGGAACGAATAAAAATAAAATTGGAAAAGGTCAAGGAAGTGGTTGGAGAAGAGACAAAAGACAGTGAGCATACTAAATGGAGATCACAAATTTCATACAATTATAGAATCTTAAGAGTTGGAAGGGACCCCGAGGGTCATCTAGTCCAACCCCCTGCAATGCAGGAATCTCAGCTAAAGCATCCATGGCAGATGGCCATCCAACCTCTGCTTAAAAACCTCCAAGGAAGGAGAGTCCACAACCTCCCAAGAGAGACCGTTCCACTGTTGAGCAGCTCTTACTGTCAGAAAGTTTTTCCAAATGTTTAGTCGGAATCTCTTTTCTTGTAACTTGAAACCACTGGTTTGAGTCCTATCTTCCAGAGCAGGAGGAGGTGGGGAAAGGAACAAGTTAGAGAATAATGGCTCATCCAGATGTCATTTTTATTACACATCTGTGACGGTTTGTGCACATGATGCTATCAGGGCAGTCACACATGATCCAGTTTTCAATTCTGTTTGCACCTGCAAAGTGTTGGGAGTGCTTCATTTAGCACTCAATGCACAACCCATAACTTCCTACTGAAACCCTGTAACTTTCAATGCTACCAAGTGCCTAGTAAACCAGATAGGTAGTTGGGTTCCTATTGAGGGTACTTGGCAAGCCACCATGACAGTGATGAGGGATGGAGCATTGATCATTCTGTGGTATTATGAAAGTGGACAAAGCTGTATTGCAACATTCAAATAAATGTGTTTTAATAATATTTTTTTTAAAAAAAAATGCTACCGATGTTCTAGTTTATTTTGTCCTGCCTTTGTTGTGTTATAGGCCCTCTGGACATCAATAATCTGGTAGCATCTGGGGGAGCATCACAGCACAAATTAAAGCAGAAGAAATCTACCACGACTGCACTGCCATTGCCTCAAGAACAAGTTGCAGGATATACCAGCAGTAGAAGACCAGTCTGGTGGGGCCATAAGGTGGTGAGGAAGGTTTGATTGCGCTTGAAAGCCAAGGGCAATTGGCCAGAGAGAGTGAGACAATGAGGAACAGAGTGGGGTGAAGAGATTTATAGACGGGAATGGAAGCTAGGAAAGGGACAAGCAAGCTGAGAACTCAGGATATCCAAGCTGGTCAACGAACTGTCTAGACCCCAGATAATATGAGAGATTAGACTGTGAAGTTGGGCATTTGAAAACCAAGCTTTAGGGTGGTTTTGAAACCACCGTTAAATACTTATGGCAGAAATCAAGTAAAGTGGTACCTCGGGTTACAAACACCTCGGGTTACAAACACTTCGCGTTACAGACTCTGCTAACCCGGAAGTAGTACCTCAGGTTAAGAACTTTACCTCAGAATGAGAACAGAAATCGTGCAGTGGCGGCACAGTGGCAGCAGAAGGCCCCATTAGCTAAAGTGTTACTTCAGGTTAAAAACAGTTTCAGGTTAAGAACGGACCTCTGGAACGAAGTAAGTTCGTAACCAGAGGTACCACTTTATATCACCATCTACAGGAGCTTGGATGACATACGCAAAGCCCTCAACATGCAGGGCATTAATCTAAATAGCACTTAAACCAATTAGAGAATATTGTGTATCTTTCATGTATGTAGCCAAGGCAGCCATTAATAAATCCCAGAGATTCTTCAGAATAATGCAACACCTGCCCACGACCTCTTTCCTGCAAACCCCCTTGGGCTCAGGAGGACAACAGTCTGAACTGTGTTTGAAAAACAAGTTTTTAATTAGAGTTTGCTCTTCCAAGCTGGCAACTGGCAGAGACGCTCTTGTTGAAAAATGACAGCTGCTTGGGTTGGCACTGCGATGGCATAGATTATTAAAGCAATATTGGAGCAGACAGGACGTGTTATGTGCCATTAGTGTGCGTCCGCATGATAGCACTGGTGAAAAAGACAATAATATCTTAGTTTTAAAAAATACAGTAGGATGTTGGAAGTTGATACAACCAAGCCTCTGATTAGAAGCTACCATAAGGAAAAAACCTTGAATTGTATTGGGCAAAATCAAAAGAAAACTATCCTGTTGAAATATCTTGCTTCCCCCTCTCCTTAACCTTTTAGTCCCCAAAGCCGTTGCATTTCAGTGCAATTTCCACACATGTAGCTTTGTCGCTGGATTGCATCAAACAGGCAAATCTGCTACATCCCAAGTCAGACCACAGGTCCATTTACCCCTGTGCTGTTTCCTCTGGTGGAAGAGGAACATTTTCTCCTGGCCCCTAAAGATGTACAATGAAGACACCAGATGAACCTCCCTGGAGAGAGCATTCCACAAACAGGGGTGTCTACAGAGAAGGCCCATTCTCGTGTGGCAACCTTCTGGAGATACACAAAGAAGGGCCCCAGAAGATGATCTCAAGGTCCAGGTAGGTATATATGGAGACACGCAGCCCTTGAGATATTATGGTCCTCAGCTGTTTATATCTAATTCCTTCTACTAGCTTCTACTGGTTCAATCACAAGGCATAGCGACCTTCTGATCTTTTGCTCCTTCCTTTGTCATCAGCAGCGGAGGAGGCACACAAAGAAGGGCCTCAGATGATGAACGTAAGAGTCCAAGACTGTTTATATGGGAAGAGCCAGTCCTTCCAGTATTGTGGCCCCGAGTCATGGCTCTTTCTTCTTCAAGGTATGGGTCACTGCTCCTCTTGAATGAAGTGAGCTGCTGGAAGATCAACCAAAGGCAAGCATGGGATGCCTGCCGCCCTCCAGAAGTTGGACTCTCAACTCCCATCAGCCCCAGACAGCATGACCAAGGATCAGGGATGAGGAGAGTTGTAGGCCAGAAACATCCCAAGGGACTCATCCCTGACTTACACTAACACAATCCTCCAACTTGTGAAATCCAAAATTCTCCAGGTTATATTTACCCTCTCCTTCGTCTGCAGGACCTAGTTTTTGTTGAACGGTCTCTTTAAATTTGAAGGTTCATTATTGTTCCACAAGATGTGCGTTTCTTTAAGGGCCAGAGCAAATAATATGACCTAGTTTTACAGCTGTGAAGCAGTATAGCAGGTGCTGTTAAGTTATGTTAATTAAGCTGTTGGGTATAGTATATAAAGAGCAGCACCTAGCTCTCTCAGTACCCTGGTGGATGGGTCATGCTTATTGATATATTGTAAAATGAGTTTTTGTTATTGTTATTAAGGTAAAGGTAAAGGTACCCCTGCCCGTACGGGCCAGTCGTGTCCAACTCTAGGGTTGTGCACCCATCTCACTTAAGAGGCCGGGGCCAGCGCTGTCCAGAGACACTTCCGGGTCACGTGGCCAGCGTGACGAAGCTGCACTGGCGAGCCAGCACCAGCGCAGCACACAGAAACGCCGTTTACCTTCCCGCTATAAAGCGGTACCTATTTATCTACTTGCACTTAAGGGTGCTTTCGAACTGCTAGGTGGGCAGGAGCTGAGACCGAAAGATGGGAGCTCACCCCGCCACGGGGATTCGAACCGCCAACCATACGATCGGCAAGTCCTAGGCACTGAGGGTTTACCCACAGCGCCACCCGCGTCCCATCAGTTTTTGTTATTAAAACCTAGCAAAAATTACTTTTGCGTTCCTTGTAATGTGTGGTCTCCCCAGCACGCCTTCTGCAGCGCAACTAATCTGCCAACAGTTTTATTGCCTTTGCTATGAAAGAGCCAAGCAGCCAGTTGATGTCTCCTCTTAATTTCTCTTCCCAGGCAGCCCAGCAGCTTCCATTTTGTATGCCACAAGCTTCTGAAAGGAAGACAAATATGGTCCACATACCATGTCGGTCACAACAACAAATCCCTTTGGCTTCCACAACCACCTCAGCTTCCCTCTGTGGAATATTTCTAGCCAGGCATCGTCTCTCCCTTGTTTACTCCCTCCTGCTGACAAGCAAAACTAAAAAGGAAATATGTAGAGATTTCAAAGATCAGCAGGGGATGAGGTTTTCCCAGTGTAAACTAGGAAGAATCGCGGTCCTGTAAGATGCTGAATAATTTCAGTTAATTACTTGCTGTTTCCTGACTATTGGGGCGGCAAGAGGCGGGGGCAGTCTGAAAACAAATCCAAATCTTCCCAGTGCCAAAGAATAACCCAGAAGAGTCATTAGATTTACACAAACCGTACATCAACTTAAAAAAAACCTTCATAGAAAGAACCCAAATTCAATCAGATTAACAAATTCAGCGTCCTGAAGCTTTTTTACTAGGTCCAGAAATACCAAAGGAGCAGAGAAGACTGTTTATGTATGCTACAACAGCTGTGCAGATGTTATTTGCCCAAAGATGGAAGGAAGACAAAGTACCTACAAGAGAAGAATGGCTGATAAAGATGGTGGACTATGCCGAAATGGCGAAAATGACCAGGAAGATCAGAGATCAAGAAGATGATAAATTTAATAAAGAATGGGGGAAATTTATGTGTTACTTAAAAGAACACTGTAAACAATTAAAAACATTGGCAGGATTCTAAAAAACTCTGGAAATGGAACGAGAACTATGGTGAGAATTGAGTATTAAGTAAATATGGAGAACAGTATGAGATGCAGTTGGAAAAGAATAAAACCATGGAGGGGTGGAGGGAAGTCTGGGGATTCAGAGAATCCTATGTGTACATGATTATGATATACAGTGGTACCTCGGGTTAAGAACTTAATTCGTTCTGGAGGTCCATTCTTAACCTGAAACTGTTCTTAACCTGAGGTACCACTTTAGCTGATGGGGCCACCTGCTGCCACTGCGCCGCTGCTGCACGATTTCTGTTCTCATCCTGAAGCAAAGTTCTTAACCCAAGGTACTATTTCTGGGTTAGCGGAGTCTGTAACCTGAAGCGTCTGTAACCTAAAGCGTCTGTAACCTGAGGTACCACTGTATTTGTGATGATAATTGTTAAAGACAAAAATGAATAAATAAATTATAAAAAATAAAACAAAACTCAGTGTCCAAGTCCTCTGGGACATCAGGACATTAACCCAGGAATGGGGAACCTCAGGCCCAGATGTGGGCCACCTGGACTCTCCCCAGCCCATGCCATCCCCCCCTCCAGATGACACACCTCACCAGTCCTGTTCCTCACCCTCCTCAAACTCTGTCCTTGAACTGTGATAATCCCTCTTGCTCGCCTAGACGAAGGGCCAGTTAAAGCCTCTGTCTTTTGTGTGGTGGGTGTTAAGTTGTGGGTGAACATATCAGACGACACAGCGATTCTTCAAACAGCTCTTGTTTATTCACAGGCCAGAACAGAACTGAACTGAAGGGTTCAATCAGCCTGCTTATATAGAGCTCCAGTACAACGTAACTGTAACAATTTTCTAAAACTATCCAATCACTGAACGTCACTTTCGATCCCTTATTTGCATAACTATCTACAGTATCCCCCTGCTGGCCCAGGCTGAGAACTTCAGTACATAACAGTGGGAGTGCAGTCTACTGTACAAAAGCATGGCATGCAGCCCACAGGGTTCTATCAACCAGGGAATGTGGATCTCGGGCTTTAAAAGGTTCCCCAGCCCTGGTTTAACTTAAATGAAAGGAATAATCTTTTCAACAAGTAAAGGAGCGCTGCAAACTGTTGTTCAGCAGAACAGATCTTCTCTGTAAGAGCTCATTTATTATCTGGTGCTAGCGGTCTATTTTTAATTCGGGTCAAACATACCCAGAAACTCTCTCGATTATTGATAAACAAAAAGCTTTCTCTTGCATTGAGTTAAGATTAAGAAACACACCCTTTCATGTTTTTGGTGTTTCTTTAGGCCTCAGCAGAGTGCGACATGCCAGTCTCCGACAGCAGAGGAAGCAGAAATAACTTACCAAGTGTCTGGGAAGAGCAAAGGAGGGAAAGTTCAAGGGAGCGCTTGAAAAAAGAACAATGTACCAATCACCTCCATCTTAAAAGAAACACATTTTAGAATGTTGCATAACGTTGTCTAATACAGCTAAAAATAATGCAGTGGCAGAACAAATGCCAGGAATCAGAAGTTACCAGAAAGGAATCTTCTCCAAGTCGATGTTTAAAGCACAGGCATGGAGTGGAAAAGGAAAGATGGAGGTAATATAGGCAATAATAATAATGCTTGATAGATTAGATATAGATATAGATATAGATATAGATATAGATGATATAGATATATAAGATATAGATATAGATATAGATATAGATATAGATATAGATGATATAGATATAATCTACTATATATTTAGGAAAGTTGTTTACATTTGCACACCTCTTAAAGATACCATAACCAAATTTTGCATGATGGTTTCTGAGTTCAAGGAGCAGGTTTTTGCCTAACTTTGAATACAATTTGACACCTCTAAGAAGATTGAGGGCACAAGGAGAAGGGGACGACAGAGGACGAGATGGTTGGACAGCGTTCTCGAAGCTACCAGCATGAGTTTGACCCAACTGCAGAAGGCAGTGGAAGACAGGAGTGCCTGGCGTGCTCTGGTCCATGGGGTCACGAAGAGTCGGACACGACTAAACGACTAAACAACAACAAGAAGCACAGCAGCCAAGCACTCTTCTGTTAGAATCATAAGAGTTGGAAGAGACCCTAAGAATCATCTAGTCCACAGACTTTCCAAACTTTTCATCTTGGTGACACACTTTTTAAACATGCATCATTTCATGACACAGTAATTCAATTTTACTAGCAAACCTGAGGTTAAACTAACCCCTTTCCAGCGCCGGGAGGATTGCAGGGAGCACTCGCGTGATACACACACACACTGCAGCTGGCACACTGACATGTCACAACACACAGTTTGGAAAGCTCTGATCCAGTCCAACCCCCTGCAATGCAGGAATATGCAACAGGGATTGAACCTGCAACCTTGCCATTATCTGCACCATGCTCTAACCAACTGAGCTATCCAGGTGTCTGTGCCTACTACCTACTACAACAGCCTTTACCAAATATGTCATGGGCTTTGAAGACACTCAAACTCAGGACGCAAGGGAGAAAAGTGCTAAGAAGAAGGCACGCTTGGCAAATCCACACCGTGATCAATGGAAACCTATGTCCCCACTGTGGAAGGACGTGTGGATCCAGAATTGGCCTCCACAGCCACTTACAGACTCATTGTTAAAACCGTGTTTATGGAAGACAATCTTACTCGGCTACAAGTGATAGAAGAAGAAGAAGAAGAAGAAGAAGAAGAAGAAGAAGACGACAAGTGGAGAATATATGGTCTCATCACCTCTGGCCCTGGGCCATGCTGGTGGGGGCTGGTGGGAGCTGGAATTTGACATCTGCTGAGCCACCACTGGTTCACCACCACTGACCCAAAACAAAGAAGCATTGTGCCTCTGAAGATGGCTCATAGATAGTGGCCATGATAAGAGTTATCTCCTCCATTAATTTATCAGATCCTTTTCCAAAGCTATCTAACCCTGTGACCTAGAGAATCCCAAGTGTTTACCAGCATTGTCCAGCTTTTCTTATTGCTTCTGACTTTTGATGGAACCAAAGTGCAATGTTTTGTTACTGGGGAAATAAATGTGCTCTCCCTCCCAGCTGAAACTTCAGTAGCAATGGCTTTTACGTGGTCACCCAAGGGATAACTGGCAAATCAGGGTCTGGAGTTGGACCTTAGGTCTGTGTTTTAGGCACTGCCAGCTCAACTGCAATGTAATTAATAGTGTTTATTAATGATTCTGAGTCGTGACTAATATCATGAAATATGTTTGCCCGCCATGGATATAAACACTATCATGGTTACCATCTCTGTATTCAAAGAGCAGGTGAAGCTTTCTGTGTGTATAAAAAACTACCCTGTGTGACCTGAAAATATAAAATCAGGCTCCTCACTGAGAGCAGCTTCATTTGTGCCATTTCCCCTTGCACAGAAATAACCCCTTCTAATCTGCAAAGTGACCCTGAACCACCATCATCCTGAAATTCTTTGTCTATGTATACAGGAGTTGCCAGTTCAGAGTAACAATCCCGAGTCAACATCATCAGGTAGCCTTATCTCCCAAGGTGATTGGTGCAGATTAGGCATTGCTTCTGCAAACAGAAGGAGAGGGAGCAAAGCCATTTCTGGACTGCACCACTTCAGACTTACAGCTGGGAAAATTAGAGCAGCTGAGAGGTTTCTCCAGTGGGTCAGTCTGGGCTCCCTGCGCATACATCAGGGGGGAAGCTAAGCTAAAGAATTTGTCCTACCATCTCTAGTTACCTATGTGCAAATATTTATTTGGAGCAGAATTTGGACATAAGATTGCATTCATTGTAGCGTTCAGGTGAACATTCCAGGGGGACAAAAGTTTTCATCTTCCCCTCCCCACCATGCACCCCCTGAATCTGTTCTGGGGGCTTCTCCCAACCTGCAGAGCAGATCTAGGGACCGTGCAGAAGTTCAGCTACTGCAATTAATTAGTTGAATATTGCCCTTAATTAGCTAGCTGTTACATTCATGTTCCATCTTTCCTCCAAGTAGCATAAGGTTGTGGAATAGAGCCAGTGAAATAAGAGCCAGTGCGGTGTAGTGGTTAGAGCGTTGGACTAGGACCTGGGAGACCATGGTTCGAGTCCCCACTGAGCCATGAAGCTCGCTGGCAAAGCTTGGGCCAGTCACAGCCTAACCCACCTCACAGGGTTGTTATGGGGCTAAAATGAGGAGGGGCAGAACCATGCATGGCACCTTGAGCTGCTTGTTGGACTCCAACTCCCATCAGTCCCAACCAACATAGTCAGTGCTTAGGGAGGATGGGAGTTGGGAGACCAGCAGAATCTGGAGCCACAGGTGCCCCAAGCAGCAGTTCTCCATTCTTAGGCAATGCTTTTGCTTCATAATCACCTATCTGATCTTTTAAGCAGGAAATGCCAAGGGTTGCTCCAGAGACCTTCTGGACTTCACGGCTCCCTGGAAAAGGTTTGGACCAAATCCAGGAATTGGCTTGTGTCATAAATGATTTCTGGAGCTAAACAGATTAAGGCACACTAGTTGGGAAGTGCCTCATTTGCCTAAATGAATCAGCTTCTCCTGCCACTATGTCCCCCACTGTCTTGTCAGCAACCTGAACTGATCGTTTGCAGAGAGCTTTCTATGTTCCCATTGCTCTATCATTTTTTATTTTACTTTTTTATACCTGCCCACGTTCTGCAGAAAATGAAGCCAAGGATCACAGACTCTGCACACCTGAGGAAAGGCCTTCGTAGTAGACATCCAGGAGGCCATTGGCCGCAGAAGTGGCTAAGGAACCTATTTGCTTCCTGAAATATCCACTCAAAGGGGATTTTGGTATGCCCAATTTGTTGATCAAATAGGACAGTCAATGAATAGGGTGAGGGGAATTACAGATCCTACTGACTCCTTCTGCTCTTAACCTCCACAGTTTGACCTGGCTCCTTACACAGAGTACATGTTGTCTGTGTTGTGAACTGCCCTGTGATCTTTGGATGAAGGGCGGTATACAAGTTTTAATAATAATAATAATAATAATAATAATAATAATAATACTTCAACTGTCAGACAGCATGTTCCTCAAAACTACTTGCTGGAAACCACAGGAGGCAAGAGGGCTCTTGTGCTCAGGTCTGCTTGCAGACTTCCCATGGGCATCTGATTGGCCACTGTGAATATATCTGAAGGAGCGTCTCCACCCCCATCGTTCTGCCCAGACACTGAGGTCCAGCACCGAGGGCCTTCTGGCAGTTCCCTCACTGCGAGAAGCCAAGTTACAGGGAACCAGGCAGAGGGCCTTCTTGGTAGTGGCACCTGCCCTGTGGAACGCCTTCCCACCAGATGTCAAAGAGAACAACAGCTACCAGACTTTTAGAAGCCATCTAAAGGCAGCCCTGTTTAGAGAAGCTTTTAATGTTTGATGTATTAGGGTATTTTAATATTTTGTTGGAAGCCGCCCAGAGTGGCTGGGGAAGCCCAGCCAAATGGGCGAGGTATAAATATTATATTATATATTATATATTATATATTATATAATATATATTATATATTATATACAGTATTATTACAGGTTGTTGGACTATATGGGCCCCTGGCCTGATCCAGAAGGTATCTCACATGTTCTTATGAATGCTGCACAACCTCTGGTCCTTATGAGTTGTGCAGCTGAGCCACGACGGAGGGCCACCGACAAAGACTCTCCAAAGATCTCAGTCACCCAGTAGGGATATACAGGATCTGACCGTCCTTAAGATGTCCTGGACCCCTGTTGTTAAGGGCCTTTATATTGATGCAAGAACCTTGAACCTGTCTCAGTAGCAGATGGGCAGCCAGTGCAAGCTCTCAAGCGCTGGAATTTCGTGCCAGAGGTGGTAGTGTGCCCATCAACAGTTCAGCACCAGCGGGAGCTTCCAGACCAGCCAGAAGGGTAGCGCCACATAGGGCGCTTGATCACACATCCTCGCAAATTACAATGGAAGTGGTAATGTTGTTGCACTTTCTTGCAGGGCGATAGAGCACAGGCTTCCATTGGAACGATGGACCACTGGCCTGATCCAGCGGGTTCTTCTCATTAAGAGAATGGCAAAACGAATTGCTGGCGGGAAGTTAAGGTTCAATTTAGGCCGCCCATAGGAATGCGATTGTTCCTTGCAACCGTAAGAGTCGGTAATGTAACTTTAGGCTTTATCTGGACATCAGGATTCATTCCTCCTGGGCAGATCCAGTTCCCAGTTCTGTGCTGATTTAGCAGGCACACACAGACGTAACTGCGAACAATGACTCATTTGATCTACGAGTCCGTGGCTACAAATGACACAATGGAACAATGGTTGACATGTGTGGTGAGAACCTGCAGAATTATCGGGGGCGCATTGTTAAACATGGCACTTGAAATTAGATCGGAAGAACCTGTAAACTTAACAAGTACCCTGTTTGTACTCAAGAGAGGACTCTTGTACTCTCAAGAGGTAAGTGGCTAAAGAAGGCAAAGACATCTTGAAGTTTCGTATCAGTTTGCAAAGATTCTTCCCAGGTATTACTTTGGACCTCATGGCAGGACATACCCACAGAAATAACCGTGCAGCTCAACCACTGAACCGAAGGGCCACATTCCCTTGTGCGCAACCTCCTGGGGGCCACATTCCAGTGGTGGGTGGGGCCACAGGCAACATCAAATGGAGCAATGGATGTAACGCAAGCTGTACCACGCAGTGTTAGAAACTCAGATATATAAGCTAATTGCCAAACGGTTACGGTCACCACAACGGAATGTCTAGGCGTCTTTTTTCCAATGAGATTTATTATTATTATTATTATTCTATACCACTTTATATTTTAAAGAAAAATCTCAAAGTGGTTTGCGACACATTAAAACATCCAACGAAATAATCCAGAATAAAACAAATTCAAGCTTGAAGGAAAATATTTCAGATCCTTCTCTAAGTGACATTTTGCTTTCCCCGTATTTACCTACCTAATATATACCTGCCAGTTGGGAGTTGGAGAAGGAAGCGGGAGGATAAGTCTGTGGGTTGGTCGAGTTGTGTTGTGAGAGAGTGAGAGAAACTAGGAGTCAGATAGACAGTTGGGATAATCAGTTAGCCGTTATTAGGAAGGTATAGGCCAGTAAAGAAACTAAGATTAAGAAACTGACAAGAAAAATTAGCTGAAACCATAAACTTGTTAATGCTTATAAAATAAACTTGCTTATTTGATTTAATGTTAATAACTGTCTGGACTCTGTGTGTACCCGAGAGAAACGGGTTGGTGGCAGCGGGGAAGCAATCACAGTGGTGGCACAGGGATCAATAGACCATCAAATGTCTGGGGACCCTGTGTGATCACCACACTGCCCCATAGCAGAAGGACTCTAGGAAGCCAGTGGTGTGGTGGTTTGCGTGTCAGACTAGGACCTGGGAGATCAGGGTTCAAATTCCCACTCAGTGGTGAAGCTCACTGGGTGACCTTGGACCAGTTGTAGCCTCTTAATGTACCTCACAGGGTTGTTGGGGGGAGGGTGAACCATGTACTCCTTAAAGAAAAGAAATAAGCTCTCCTGTTTACCTGCCCAAGAAAGCTGGAGGAGCCAGCCAGATGGAGATCCCTGGCATCCAGAGATCTCTATGTGACTGAAACTGGACCCATGCCAGTAGGAAAATGCACCTGGTACCTGGCTAATTTCAAACACTGGTACCAGGATGTAACTGTAATAGATGTCTCCGGACAGTGATTGTTTTCCGGTTTGTACACTTAAAATGGATTAAAACACTCTGTTGCTCTGCTGCAACAAATCCACTTTTTAAAAAAACCAAATCATAAAACCGGCCAAACTTTTTGTGGTTTGTAAAACAAAGATGCACTAAAGAAGTGTGGGATGAACAGACAATTAACAGGAAGATGTGTAAACACCCTGCAAGCAAATCAGAATGCAGGATGAACGCTCATTGCCATAAACAAATAGAGGAAACACTCAATGAAGTCTAACCACCATGTCAAGTTTTGGGCAGGGGCATCATCTGAATAAACAAATCATCTTGGGGGGGAAACGCCTAGGCTTTTTGCACAGTAACACACAACCCTTTCCATCAAAGCATGGAAGAGGCATTATTGCAGTTCACTGACATATTCCAGCCGGGCAAAAGCAGCCAAGGAAGGTGTGGTAAGGAATGTGACCTGGGGAAAGTTGAGGATCAGATAAGGTGACCTGGAAGGCAGCATCCAGCAATGGCTCTACCCACAATTGGTTGAAAAAACACAATCGGGAGTCAGGGGGAAATGTGATTAGAATGGTGAGGTGTGGAAGGATGCCAAGATACTTGCTTCGAATGCTCCACACATATGGGATTAGTTAGCTGGCAGAATTCTGATTTACTCAGATTTCTTTGGGGCGCCCACATTTACGTCCATGCAGGAGGTTTAACTGAAGCTGGTCTCATAAAAAGGTATCACAGCACTCTTGAAAAGTATTCTCCTCTTTCTCCAATTGCAAGACTCCGTTTCAGCAAAAGACGGCTAATTTATTCTCTACGGGGCATTACAGGATGAACGAGGGCTTATGTAATATTATCGGTGTGTGAGACTATATGTAATATAAATTGTTCAGCGTGCCTTTATTTCAAATTTCTATGATTTTATGAAGTGCCAAGAGCAAAAACAGATGTTCCCCTACTCCACTTGGATATCAAAAACCCTAAACTGGTATGCTAACATGTCCCACAAGGCCTGTGGACTGTCTGGTAAATCTGGGGATAGATTAAGAGGCCCAAAAATGCTTGGCTCCAGAGTTTTCATGCCAAGATTGTCAAAATGGTTGAAATAAATATGAATCAAATCTGGACTCCAATGGGGCAGTCAAGCATTACTCAGAGGTGGGGGGGTGCTCAGTGCTTAAATATAAGTCTAAGATGGAAACGTTCATCTGAAATGTCAGTAACTGGTACAGTGTGTTTGTATGGGAGCTTTGCTAGCAAAACCCAAAAGGAAGTTAAAAAGGTAAAGGGACCCCTGACCATCAGGTCCAGTTGTGACTGAGTCTGGGGTTGTGGCACTCATCTCTCTTTATTGGCTGAGGGAGCCGGCGTACAGCTTCTGGGTCATGTGGCCATCAGGACTAAGCTGCTTCTGGCAAACCAGAGCAGTGCACAGAAACACTGTTTACCTTCCTGCTGGAGTGGTACCTATTTATCTACTTGCACTTCATGCTTTCAAACTGCTAGGTTGGCAAGAGCAGGGACCAAGCAATGCTAAATCCCACTGAAATCAATTGGGTTGAAAAATCTGTATGTTTGTGCCTTAACGACAACTGAATTTCCTACAGAAGTTGAACTGTTATAGGAATGTCCTGTTTTCCCTGCTGCTAAAATTATTATTATTATTATTATTATTATTATTGATAATAATAATTTTATTTGTACCCCAATCATCCGACTGGGTTGCCCCTGCTACTCTGGGCAGCTTCCAACATATATAAAAACATAATAAAACATTAAACTGCAAACTGCAATATTATGCATGTCAACTTTCTCCGCATAGATAGGTTATTCGAACTGCTATTCTGATAGTGCACAAACAACTAAATATCGTTTAGGAAATTATTAGCAGGTAATGACAAAGCTGTTTCAGAACATTTCCTTGTCTTTCTTATGTAAGGCAGAAGAAGCAAGACCAAGACTCCAAGCAATTACCTGACGAAGTGTGTATTACACACGAAAGCTCATACCTTGAAAGCTTATATTTAGTTGATCTTAAAGGTGCCACTGGAATTATTTAAAAAGATTTTTTCATCTTTCATCTTGTTATTTATTATAACTTCAGAAGCTGTTCGCTGAGCTAAACCTCGAACAGGAACACAGGACGAAACAGAAGAAGCTACTACATTATACCAAGTCAGACCATTGCGTCATCTAGCTCACCACTCATCTTCAACTGGTGGATCGGGACCTTAAGGATGTGAGTGGTGCTGTGGTCAAAACCACTGAGCATCTTGGGCTTCCCAATTAGAATGCCGGCGGTTGCTCTGTCCCAGTTTCTGCCAACCTAGCAGTTTGAAAGCACACCAGTGCAAGTAGATAAATAGGTACCGCTGCAGCAGGAAGGTAAACGGCGTTTCCATGTGCTCTGGTTTTCGTCACGGTGTTCTGTGGCGCCAGAAGCGGTTTAGTCATGCTGGCCACATGGCCCAGAAAACTGTCTGTGGACAAACACCAGCTCCCTTAGCCTGAAAGTGAGATGAGCGCCGCCACCCCATAGTCGCCTTTGACTGGACCTAACTGTCCAGGGGTCCTTTACCTTTTTACCTTTATGGTTAGTGGGTTGCAACAGGAGCACTGCCACCATACAAAGAGTAAGAAATGGGTCCCCAAGTGCATGTTTGGGTTAAAATATGGGACTGGGTCTGACAATGTTGAAGAGCTGGACTGGCTTGCAGGGTTTCTGACAAGGGACTGAACCTCAGACCTTCTGCATCCAAAGCATGTGCTCTTCCTGAGTTTTCTTCCTACCTTATTGCGGAATAAGGTGCCATTCTGCACACCCACTGGCAGCACATGTCATTGACCTGCATTTGTCAATTCATAAGTCCCCCAGAGTACAACAGAACTTCCTGACAGGCAAGTGAGTATCACGTTGCAGTCTAATTGCTTTCCAGTTGCTTTCCTAGAAGCCATGGGCAAATCATGTAAATGCATTGCAGCATCTGCCAACCTAATATATAGTTGTGTGGCTTTAGATTTCAGCAATTCACTTACCTGAACCTTAAAGAATCTCAGGCATCTGCCTCTCCCAATTATCCCTGATGCACAAGGAAGATACACAACCACCCTCTGCAGCTGTTTTATAATGTGTAGCATTGGGAACATACCATATTTTTCCGTGTATAACAAAACCCCTATTTTTCGGGACTCAAAAATTATGAAAATAGGAGATGACCCCTGTGTATAAGATGACCCGTTTTTTAACATTAGAGTAAAAAAAACCCTAGTCTTATACACAGAAAAGTACAGTACAGTGGACGCTCAGGTTGCGAACGTGATCCGTGCGGGAGGCACGTTCACAATCTGCAGCGTTCACAACCCGCAGGTTGCGATTCGGCGCTTCTGCGCATGCTCGAGCGCCAAAACCTGGAAGTAACCCGTCCCGGTACTTCCGGGTTTCAGCACGTCCGTAACCCAAAAATGCGCAACCTGAAGTGTCTGTAACCCGAGGTATGACTATAGTCTGATTTAGGATAAGGCAGCGTATTTGCCCATCTAGGCCAGATTTTTCTACCCGGGCTGACAGTGGTTCTCCAGGCAAAGGTCTTTTTTGCACTGATGCCACCTTCTCCTTTTAACTGAAGATGTCAGAGGCTGGACCTGGGAACTTCTGCATGCGAGCATGTGCTCTTCCACTAAGCTATCATCCCTCCACAGTTATTCATGCTCCAGATCAAACTTCCATTCCCCTTTGCAAATAATGGTCACATCTACAATATACAGAAGGTGTGGGGAATCTTTGGGCCCAAAATAGCTGGAGTAAAACTCACATCAGCCACAGAAAGCACAGCCAATAGCCAGGAGGGAAGTGACGGGAGTTCGGGCTCAGCATCATCAGGAGAGCCGAAGATTGTCCATACCTGCCAGACAGCTTTCTGCAACCTGGTGCCCTCCAAATGTTTTGGAGGGCAACTCCAACAAGTCCCACCCAGCATGGCTGCAATATTCTGCATCTCAGTTTCTGGCCAAGAGTATGCAAGCTCCCAGGCCACTGAGTCATAGACCATATTTGCATTATACATTCAAAGCACCATAATACCACTTTGAACAGTCGTGGCTTCCCTCCAAGAATTCTGGGAGCAGCAGTTTCTTAGGGGTACTGAGAGTTGTTAGTTCCCCTCAAAGAGCTACAAATTCTCAAGAATGGTTTAATGAACCCTCTGCAATTGGGAGAACCCCCTGTCTGAAACCCTGGGGAGAGATGACGCCAACTAGGCAGTACTGAACTTACAATAACTCTGTCCATCTGACTGGGTTGCCCCAGCCACTCTGGGCAGCTTCCAGCATATCCAAAAACATAATAAAACATTAAAAGCTTCCCTATACAGGACTGCTCTCAGTCTAAAGGTTACTTTAGAAAGTAGTCACTTATCTCCTTGATAGCAAATGGGAGGGTGTTCTACAGGGTGGGCACCACTACCGAGAAGGCCCTCTGCCTGGCTCCCTGTAACTAGATGGGCCAATGGTCTGAGGTAGTACAAGCCTATGAAGGGGTGTCTAACCCATAGAGGCTAGTGGCGCAGGGCACCAAGTTCTGGAGGGTGCCAGGGAAGAGGCGGAGGCTGAATGCGGCGCCTCCCAGCATCAGCTCGCCGGCCTCCGCCATGCTGCGCTGAAGCAGCGCCATGCCCAGAGCCTCCACCTGCCATGGCCGCTACGGCACAAAGCAGCCAGCTGAGCTAGGAGCCTCCGCATCCAGACTCCGCCTCTTCCCCTCCAGAGGAGCTGCCCTCCAGCACTGGCAGACGAATGGGGGGGAGGTACCAGGGTGCCATCACGGCTGCCCCCCCTGCCTGCGCTGGGCACCCCGCCCCAGAACACGCGCCACACCCCTGCAGGTGGCACACCCTGCCCCGGAGGCGTGCACCAGCCCTGCCCCGCCTGCTCTCCGCCCCCCGTGCCGGAGCATGAAGCTCCGCCAATGCCCTCCAGCTGCTGCCCACCTCCTCCAGCCCCACAAAGCTGGGCACATCGCCGGCAGCACCGTCCTCCCTAAAAAGGTCGGCAACTCTGGGAAAGGGGGGGCACTGGAGGGATCTTCGCAGCACGGCGCCAGATATGCTTAAGACGGCCCTGAGCCCATGTCCTATGTTCCTGTGACCAGGCAGCAGATGATGGAAAAGGTGTCTGCTTTGAGAACAGGAGTTGCCAGTTGAAGTATTGCAGGTAATGGACCAGTGGCCTTGTGACTATGCGGAAGGTGGCTCTGTGTATTTGTGCAACGTGCCCATCGTGGGTGGCACTGCGGTCTAATCCACTGAGCCTCTTGGGCTTGCCGATCAGAAGGTCGGCGGTTTGAATCCGTGTGACGGGGATGAGCTCCTGTGGCTCTGTCCCAGCTCCTGCCAACCTAGCAGTTCGAAAGCACACCAGGGCAAGTAGATAAATAGGTACAGCTGCGGCAGGAAGGTAAACAACATTTCCATGCGCTCTGACACTCATCACGGTCCTCCGTGTGTCAGTAGCAGTTTAGTCAATCTGGCCACATGACCCGGAAAGCTGTCTGTGGACAGTGGCGGAGCTTCATGCTCCGGCACCGGGGGGCGGAGAACATGTGGGGGTGGGGCTGGCAGGTGTCCGGGGGCATGGCACGCTGCCCGCAGGGGCATGGCGCGTGTCCTGGGGGTGTGGTACACCACCTGCAGGGCCTGATGCCCAGCACAGGCGGGGGAAACAACCGTGATGGCACCCCACCAGGACCACGCTGCCGGGGGCGGTGCGTTCCACCCCCACACTCCTCTTCCTCTGCCAGTGTCTATGGACAAATGCCGGCTCCCTCGACCGGAGAAGATGAGTGCCACACCCAATAGCCAAATTCGACTGGACTGAACCACCCAGGGGTTCTTTGCCTTTTACCCTAACAGATCAACCTGGAGCTAGCCTGAGTTCACTGAACTTTTATATAGTTTTGGGCACAGTGAGCAAATGTCCTAGGCTTCTTGGGTTAAGGGAAAGCTGCCAACCAGGAATACGATTATTTAGACCTGGAGGAAGTGAGGGGGGCCGTAAATACCCACACGCAGCAGCAGCAGCAGCAGGCAGCCTCGTATCTAGTAGCTTCGCCTCCAGCCTTCAGCCAACAGCTACCCCTAGTGGTTGCTCCCCCAAAAAGCCACCCTGCGGTTTTAACTCTTAACTCTTGTGAATTTCGCTCCGGTCAACAGGTTTAATGCTGGAGCGGCACCGAGAGGTCACTAACCAAGCATTAACCCCTTTCCTGCCGGGATCAGGGCTGTCGGCCGCCACCCTGAAGGCTGAGAGCAAGCGGCGCCTGAAGGTGGAGAGAGCACGGGAGAGATCGCTTGCAATAAAAAATTAAAAATGAGGAGAAAACTCGGGAACGACACGGTAACCCACCCCCACCACCCGCTTTTCTTAAGCAATTGATCTTTTTAGCGTCCTTCGGGCTTGCAATATTTGCCGGCAAAATAGCGGGGCGAGGGGCAGTTTGCGGCGCTCGAAGGGGCGGGGAACGGGGCTGCGGAAAGTTTGCCGGTTGCTGCTGAACGGCTGTCGCTTTGGGTCCCGCGCCGAACCGAAAGCGGTCGGCGGGGGGGGGGGCGGTTAAAAGGATGGAGAAAACTCTCGGCGTCGGAACTTGGCTTCCCCGCCTCGCGTGGACGGCACGCCGAGGAGACACAGAGGGAGGCGACAGAGGGGGGCAAACTTGGCCGAGTTTGCTCGCTTCCAGGCGGGGAGCCGCTTCCCGTAACCCAGCCAGCGCCTCTCTCGGGGGCGGGGGGTGCGTCCGCTGCCCTCGCGCCCTGCCTGGGGCTGATCCGCCTCCCCGGACGCGAGGCGGGGGTCCCTCTCGGGCGCTTTCCTCCCGGCGCGCCCGGCCTGCCCTCTTCCCCCGAGAAGCCCCCGAGCGTCCCTTCCGGCAGGGCGGGCGGGCGAGCGGGCGTCTGGCTGCGGCTGCTCCCTGCGCGCTGGCACGTCCCGCCGGCTTCCTGGCCCAGTCGGATCCGGCTCTTCCTCCTCCTCCTCCTCTTCCTCCTCCCTCCCTCCCACCCCAGCCTCCGCCCGCGCGCCTTTCCTTTTTCTTTCTCTTCTTCCTCTCTTGGCCACCATATTTTTAGGTCACTGGACTGGAGGGGTAGGTAATCCCCAGGCTCAAGTTCCAAAGGGGGCGGGTTCTGGCCGGAGGTGGAGTCACTTTTTCATTTAAATCCCCGACTATAAAATGGGCTTAAGGAGAAGCGGGATCTCAGCGGCTAAGCCACCCGGAGGAGTGGCGGCACGAGGGAGAGGCGGCGTGGCGGCGAGGGGCTCCGGGCAGTTTGCGCGCCCCTGGCCGTAGCCGCGGCTCCGGCGATGCTGCACTCCATGGGCGCCCACACCTTGCAAGCGCTCAGCCAGGTGGCCGCCTGCGTGCTGCTCCTGCCGCGCTTCCTCCTGACAGCCGTGATGCTCTGGCTCCTCGATTTCCTCTGCATTCGCAAGAAGCTCTTGCTGACGACGCCGCCGGCGGTGGCCGGAGAGGCGTCGGCGGCGTCGGAAGAAGAAGAAGAGGAGGAGGAGGAGGAGAGCTCCTCATCGGGGCCCCCTCCGGACGACCCTCCGCTGTGCGTCTCCGACTCGAACCGCATGTTCACGCTGGAGTCGCTCAAGGCGGTGTGGCACGGCCAGAAGCTGGACTTCTTCAAGGCGGCGCACGTGGGCGCGGCGGCGCCTAACCCGGAGGTGATCCAGCTGGACGGGCGCACGCGGCTGCGCATCCTCGACTACGCGCGGGGCAAGCGGCCGCTGATCCTCAACTTCGGCAGCTGCACCTGACCGCCCTTCATGGCGCGCCTGCGCGCTTTCGAGAGCCTCGCCGCGCGCTTCGTGGACGTCGCCGACTTCCTGCTGGTGTACATCGAGGAGGCGCACCCTTCCGACGGCTGGGTCAGCTCGGACGCCGCCTACGACATCCCCAAGCACCAGTGCCTCCAGGACAGGCTGCGCGCGGCGCAGCTCATGCAGGAAGGCGCGCCGGGCTGCCCGCTCGCCGTCGACACCATGGACAATGCCTCGAGCGCCGCCTACGGGGCGTACTTCGAGCGCCTCTACATCATCCAGGAGCAAAAGGTGATGTACCAAGGGGGCCGAGGGCCCGAGGGCTACAAGATCTCCGAACTCAGGCGCTGGCTCGACCAGTACAAGCGCCGCCTCCAGGGGGGACCCAGCACGGTGGTCGTCCAGGTGTAGGAAGGGGCTGCAGGCGGCGGGATATAGGCTGGGGAGAGGGCGTGGTGGGAGACCCTCCGACCAGGAGGAGAGAGGTGTCTCCCATTTTCCTCGAACTCGCAACTCCCCAAAGGCTCCTGCGTGAGTTTTCATGCAAGACGTGCCCCGTGACTCTTTCCACTATTCGAATCATGTTGATTTGCCGAGCATTTGTTATTAACATTCATTTCTACGTGCGGTTTTAATTTTTTTCCTTTTTTAAAAAAAAAACACAACAACAAATAAATTGCGTGGGTGGATGAATGGATCTCTCTTTTGTGTGGGGGGAGAAAAGCAGCGTTTACTACTTGGGTGGAAGTTTCTGGGTGTCTGTGCAACCTGATGAGTGCATATTTGGTTAAGTGTGCCGATAGGATTGCAACCTGAGTGCGCGCAACACGCGCTGTTTGTTTGTTTGTTTGTTTGTTTGTTTGTTTGTGTCTGAGTGTATGTTCCGGCGGGATCCGAGTTCTGCCTCGCACGTGTGTCATGTTGTCTAGGGCAAAGTTTCCTCTGCGCCCGAGTGATCTTCCGCCGTCCTAGCAAAACTCTTCGCTGGGATTTCTAATGTTTCTGTGTGATGACCGGTTTCGAAATGGTGATCCCGATGCCAGGAAATCGCGTCTGATGATCTGAAATATTAGAATGACCAGTTTAAAACAAAAGCAAAAAAAGAAAAGAAAAGAATGTTTATTTATGTGACCTCTCCGTTTGTTGTACTTTTCCTTTTTTTTGTAAAACGTCCATTTTTTATGAACTTTTTATAACATTATTAATAAAGATTATTGAGTAAAAGACATGCCTGATTTGGATCTTTCTAACTGAAATGTAAGAGTGTGCAAAACGCCTCCTCTCTGTTGTTGTTCTTCTGTCTCCTGGGTCACATGGCTTCCTCCCAAAATCCTGGGAACTGTAGTTTGTTACAGAGTGCTGGGAATTGTAGCTCGGTGGGGGAGCAAACTACAATTCCCAAGATTCTTTGGGGGAAGCAATGACTGTGTGGAGGTGACCCTGAACAAAGCAGAGAGCCCTGCTCTAAAGCGCAGTCAGCTCCTTGCATTTAGCTGGGCGGGGTATGTTTTTAAATGGGTGCCCTGAGAGTTACTCTTTGGATGTCTCAGTCCTGAAAATGTTTGTGCATGGATGGGGGAGCCTTTCGCTCCAGCCAGCATGGATGACAGTGCTATGGGATGAGGGCAGTGATAGCCCTCCAGCCACATCTAGATGTCCAATGCTTCCTCATTCCTGGTCCCAGAAAATGAGACTATTATGAGTTTGTATCTGACCAAGTCATACTCAAAAGGTGACCCAAGGAGTACCTGAGTACATTCAATTCAGTGTCAGTGCTCTGAGCATGACTTGGCCAGATACAACCCTTACTGATTTCTCAGGAACCTGATTCCAGATCATGTGTGTGTGATCAACACCAATGCTTAAATTACAGAGGGGGTCTGGACCCCTAAACACTTGCGAGGACTCCCTTATATACTGTTTTTAGAAAGCTATAGGAGATGAGAGAAGATCAGGGGCTTGGGCTTGTGGGTTTCATTAAACCTCCTCCCATCTTCCCATTCAAACACGGGCAAATGTCCACACATCTACAAGGCTATAACCCCCCTGCTACACACTTCCGGACCCCTCAACAAAGCAGCTTGAGACTGAGCAGTAATTGTATCTGAGGGACGTTGTCCCATTGGTGGACAACATAATGTCCTCTCCTCCCCATGCACCCCTAAAATCTGATCTGGGCATTCCTCCCCCCCCCCCAATAAATCTCCCCCTGTCACCTCCGCCCAGCAGATTTGCAAGCAGAGCAAGGAGAGGGCGAGAACTTTGGGTGTAGCCTGCTCCATCCAGGGTGGTTTATTCCCAAGTAAGTATGCATAACAGTGAAGAATATGACAGACTTAAGTCTGCCTAGACAGCTCAGAATGATGCTGATAATGCCAAGGTTGCAGGTTTGATCCCTGTATGGGACAGCTGCATATTCCTGCATTGCAGGGGGTTGAATGATCTAGATTCTATGCATCAGGGAGTTGCTACACAGAGCTTTTCAGGTCACCCACACATTGCATGGGATGCATCTCTTGAGGGGTCGTCAGCCTTGAACCGTTCCAATCTCAAGCCTTGTTGGACTCCAAAGCAAAGGGAGTGGTCCTTTTCCAAACCAATGGGCTACAGTTTCTGTATATCAAAAACGCAGAAGCACCCTCTAATAACAACATAAAGACAGCTCTGCTGGATCGGAACAATAGCTCATCTAGTCCAGCATCTGGTTCCTACTGCAGCCAATCATATGCCTATGGAAAGCTGTATCCGTGCAATAGCCCTCTCCCCGGCAACTGATATTCAGAGGCATACTAGCTCTTGAGGTAGCACACAAGTATCACAGCTAATATTTTGAACCAACTGAAATGTCTATGTTCATCAGAAAAGCCCTGCTGGATCTAGTTCAGCTGCATCTGAAGGACCAAAGTTTCCCCTGTTTCAAATAATGAATGGGATGTGCTCAAAAAAGTCGACTAAATGATCCTCAGGGTCCCTTCCATCTCTATAATTCTTTGATTAAATTAATTGTATCCCACAACTCTGTACATGACCTCCACTGAGGTCAATGAGTTTTTTAGTCGTTTAGTCGTGTCTGACTCTTCGTGACCCAATGGACCAGAGCACGCCAGGCCCTCCTGTCTTCCACTGCCTCCCGCAGTTTGGTCAGACTCATGTTTGTAGCTTCGAGAACACTATCCAACCATCTTGTCCTCTGTCGTCCCCTTCTCCTTGTGCCCTCAATCTTTCCCAACATCAGGGTCTTTTCCAGGGAGTCTTCTCTTCTCATCAGGTGGCCAAAGTACTGGAGCCTCAGCTTCAGGATCTGTCGTTTCAGTGGGCACTCAGGGCTGATTTCCTTGAGAATGGATAAGTTTGATAATAAAAGTATCAATTCTTCGGTGATCAGCCTTCTTTATGGTCCAGCTCTCACTTCCATACATCACTACTGGGAAAACCATAGAGCAGCAACCAGCAAGCCACTCCAGTATCCCTGCCAAGAAAACTCCATGGACAAAGACAGAGGTCAATGAGAGTCACCCTCAAATACATGTACAATTGTAGGAAAAGGGATGGGAGAACTGTAGCCCTCCAGATGTGGCTGGACTCCAGCTCCCATAATCTCCAGCCACCATGGTCAATGCCCAGGGTAGATGGGAGTTGGAGTCCTGCAATAACTGGAGGGGACCACAGGTTACCCCCCCCCTTGCTCCAATGCTTTTCAGACAGAAGTGCTTACAAACACCTGCCTTCCTTGTTGTAACTTTCCACATCCCCACAAGCAAGTCTGCCTTGCACTAAACATTGTGACCTGCAATAACCCAAAAGGTGAACCACTTACAGCTGAGCGGAAAACTCTTATCTGTAGCTGTTTCTTCATTATTTGCATGGCTCCTTGATAATTTTATTTGAACAAGGAGGGATTACTCGAGACCAAATAGTTACTCATTTTGTTTACTAATTTATTTCACAAACACACAGTGTGCCCCCTTTTTTTGCCATCAATGCAAGTGAATAGGTTCACTTACCTCATTTAGTTGTAAGGGGCATGCATTCCCAACGGTGATGGCAGGTTACATGGGTGCCCAGTGCTGTAAATCTGGTGGGCCAATCAACATTTGTGCATAGTACCAGGCCAAAAAATTGGCCAGGCCACCAACATTCATCAGATTCCAGTATGGGTTCGATTTTGCTTAGTAGCAACCAAGTGGGTTAAACCACAGAGCCTAGGACTTGCCGATCAGAAGGTCAGCGGTTTGAATCCCCACGACGGGGTGAGCTCCCGTTGCTTGGTCCCTGGTCCTGCCAACCTAGCAGTTCCAAAGCACGCCAAAGTGCAAGTAGATAAATAGGTACCACTCCGGCAGGAAGGTAAACAGCATTTTTGTGCGCTGCTCTGGTTCGCCAGAAGCGGCTTAGTCATGCTGGCCACATGACCCAGAAGCTGTACACTGGCTCCCTCGGCCAATAAAGCGAGATGAGCGCCGCAACCTCAGAGTCGGCCACGACTGGACCTAATGGTCAGTGGTCCCTTTACCTTTTAACCAAGTGGAATAGGGAGTAAAGATCGCTCACACACAAAAACCACAGACTTCTGCTTGTAACTGAAACAAGTCATTGGTTTATTGATATACAAAGCTCAACAGAATGAAATTACATGAAAATGATATGAAATAAAGCGATGAACGATATCGAACTTAGATAGAAACGTGAATTTATAAGAACTAAAATAAAACATGATAAGATTTAAAGCAAGTTAAAGCAACTGAATATATTGCATGTGATCTGATAAGTAGCTTTGACAAAGCAATCTAATCAAAGTAAATAAGATAACTCTTAACTCCCCACCCCCCATTTAGTTGTGAAACAAAGACTCCCTAGATATCAGATCAACAAAACTGCACAGTTACCACTATTACGGCAATAGGCTTGACCTCGGATACAGCAAAGCACACAAAGCAAGGCAGATCACAGGGAGCAAGAAAGAAAATGCCCCCAGCCCCATAAAAGAAGACCCACCTACAACAGCTGTGTACATCTTTTATATCATTCAGCAACAAGACCTATCCATTGGGTTTGGGGTTAATTTTACAGTTCATGTAATTGGCACTTCTTCTGCCATGCCTTGAATCAAAGTTAGTATCAAGTGCAAAAAACTGTCACGTGCAGTTACTGACTTGATGATTCTTGTTAGGAATGTAAGTCATACCTCAGAATTGTCAGCACTGACTGGCAGCAGCTCTCCGGCGTTTCAGCCCAGGGGTGTTCTTAGCTCTACCTGGAGGTGCCAGGGATTGTTTGATGTTTCATTGTGTCTTCGAAGAAGAAGAAGAAGAAGAAGAAGAAGAAGAAGAAGAAGAAGAAGAAGAAGAAGAAGAAGATCTGCAGCAGGGGTCAGCAAACCTTTTCAGCAGGGGGCCAATCCACTATCCCTCAGACCTTGTGGGGGGCCGGACTACAGTGGTACCTTGGGTTAAGTATTTAATTCATTCTGGAGGTCTGTTCTTAACCTGAAACTGTTCTTAACCTGAAGCACCACTTTAGCTAACGGGGCCTCCTGCTGCTGCTGCGCCACCGTGCGATTTCTGTTCTCATCCTGAAGCAAAGTTCTTAACCCAAGGTATTATTTCTGGGTTAGTGGAGTCTGTAACCTGAAGCATATGTAACCTGAAGCGTATGTAACCCGAGGTACCACTGTATATATTTTTTTGGGGGGGGATGAACAAATTCCTATGCCCCACAGATAACCCAGAGATGCATTTTAAATAAAAGCACACATTCCACTGATGTAAAAACACCAGGCAGGCCCCACAAATAACCCAGAGATGCATTTTAAATAAAAGGACACATTCTGCTCATGTAAAAACATGTGAATTCCCAGACCACCCATAGCTTTCAACCTTCCCTTTTTTTGCGGGAAATTCCCTTATTCCAGTGCCATTTTCTGCTGCTTTCCGCTGCTATCCCAGATAGTAGACTGTCCCTGGGACAGGTGAGGCTGCTGATCCCTTTTTTCCGAGGCTGCTGAGCCCTTATTTTCAAATCTGAAAGTTGACAGCTATGTTTAGAAGGTGATTGGGCCGGATCCGGCCCCCAGGTCTTAGTTTGCCTGGAGTATTCTGTATGCAAAGCACCCCTAAGTGTTAGCTCAGTTGGTTAGAGCATGGTGCTGATACAGTGGTACCTCGCAAGACGAATGCCTCTCAAGACAAAAAACTCGCAAGACGAAAGAGTTTTTCGTTTTTTGAGTTGCTTCGCGAGACGAATTTCCCTATGGGCTTGCTTAGCAAGATGGAAACGTCTTGCAAGTTTGTTTCCTTTTTCTTAAAACCGTTACAGTAATACAGGATGCATTGCTTGAAGAGGTGCAGTTGCGACTTGACTTCGGGGAGCAACTCATAGCACGCGGTGTGGTAGCCTTTTTTGAGGTTTTTGAAGATTTTTTTGAAAAAAATGAAACCGTGCTTCGCAAGACGAAAAAACTCGCAAGATGAAAAAACTCGCGGAATGAATTAATTTCCTCTTGCGAGGCACCACTGTAATACTAAGGTTGCAGGTTCTATCCCTGTATGGGACAACTGTGTATTCCTGCATTGCAGGGGTTGGACCAGATGATTCTCAAGGTCCCTTCCAACTCTACAATTTTATGGTTCTATCACAGAACTACAGCTCTTCACCTTTCCTTTTAGGTCACTTGTCAGAAGTGGGTGGGTGGTGGTTTTGTTTTTTTTAACTACATGCTTCCCATCAGAAAAAAGGAATTTGCCACAAAGGCTGGGGAAATCCCTACAAGTGGTCGCTCTTCCCCTTTGCGTCAATCAAGGCTATCTGCTCCCATCATCTTAGTCTCTTTTCAAAGTGAATCATGGCTCGCCTTCCCACCAGGTATTTATGGACGTTTGTTTCAATCAGATTAGACCGCAGGACTCCTGCTCTGACAAAACCTATGCGTATCGCAAGAACCTTCAGCCGATAAGAGTGCATTGAGAAATAGCTAATATATATACTTTATTCCATTTTCTTTCTCTTAAAAAAAACACAAACCCTCAGTGTAAAATTAATGGTGATCCAAAAGATTACAAATTTCTGACAGAATATGCACAGCTTGCAGACTTAACATATACGAGAACCATAGCTGTCAACGTTTCCCTTTTTTTAAGGGAAATTCCCTTATTCCGAATAGGATTCCTCGCAAGAAAAGGGAAAAGTTGACAGCTATGACGAGAACAAGAAGAACATACGTTTAGAGAAGATTGGAACATGTTTTTGAATATATGGGAAATAATTGTGTCCAGCTGAAAACGCTGGCAACATTAAGATAAATCCAACAGTGTAAATAAGCTTTGATGGATGCAATAATGGAATACTGAATGGTAAAATATTTTTGTAAAATATGCAGGGATTTGTGATATGTAAAATGAACCATGGAAAGAGAAGAAAGTCATTGATATATTAAGGATGTAGAAATGAGTATTTTAAATTGGAAAAGAAAAATTATTAAAAATTATATATGAAAAATGGATTACAAATTTCCGCAATATATATATACACATGATGATTGTATTGTTTTCATATTTAAACACAAAGAGACTTATTTTCGGCCTTAAACATGTGTAAAATTAGGGTATCCCCCATGCACACAAAATCTCAGGCAATTTAGGCATTTTTGTGAGTATAGAAAAAGACCAAAAATATTATTTTAATCCCCCAGGTTGGAATAATATGGCTCTCCCCACCCTGATTCTACTTTCACAGCAGCCCTGTGAGGTAGGTTGGGCTGAGAGAGATGGAAGTTGGTCACTGAGTGAGCTTTGTGGCTGAATGGGGATTTGAGGACAAATTCCCCGAGTCCCAGCCTGGTGTTCTAACCGACAGCTACACAGCACTGGGTCACTTTGCCCTGGGAGGGGCAGAACATCTGCTTGGCATGTAGAAGGTCCCAGGGTCAACCCCCAGCATCTCCAGGTAGGGCAAGGAGGGACTGATCTCTGAATGCCTGGGGAGCTGCTGCCAGCCAGTGTCAGCAGTACTAAGCTAGATGGAGCAAGGCTCACCCAAGGGACCTGCTCCATGATTCCTTGCCAGCCGCCTGGAATGTTAAAAGAAAGAAGATTCTAACTAAACATCAGGAAGATCTTTCTGACGGTAAGAGCTGTTCAGCAGTGAAACAGGCTCCCGTGAGCAGTGTTGGATTCTCCTCCCCTGGAGGCTTTTAAGCAAAGGTTAGATGGCGCTGTGGGTTAAACCACAGAGCCTAGGACTTGCCGATCAGAAGGTCGGCGGTTCAAATCCCCGCGATGGGGTGAGCTCCTGTTGCTCGGTCCCTGCTCCTGCCAACCTAGCAGTTCGAAAGCACCTCAAAGTGCAAGTAGATAAATAGGTACCGCTCCAGCGGGAAGGTAAATGGTGTTTCCGTGCGCTGCTCTGGCCGCATGACCCGGAAGCTGTACGCCGACTCCCTCGGCCGATAAAGCGAGATGAGCGCCGCAACCCCAGAGTAGGTCACGACTGGACCTAATGGTTAGGGGTCCCTTTACCTAGATGGCCATCTGTCATGCATGATCTAGGTGAGAATCCTGCATTGCAGGGGGTTGGACTAGATGACCCTTGGGGTCCCTTCCAACTCTACAGCTCTGTGGTTCTAACTCCTAGTGCTGGCATATAGTGTATCCCAGCATTCCCTCTAATATCAGAAGGGATATTGTGCTGTGAGTCCCAGACGACAGGTTGCAGCTGTCCATGATGGACGCCATGTGCAAGCCAGAAGGCACTTCCCTCCCCCCAATACAATACAGTGGTAGCTTGGTTCTCAAACGCCTTGGTTCTCAAACAACTTGGAACCCAAACACAGCAAACCTGGAAGTAAGTGTTCTGGTTTGCAAACTTTTTTCAGAAGCTGAATGTGCTCTGTTTTGTGTTACGCTTCTGATTTGAGTGCCACACTTCCGTTTTGAGTGTTACGCTGAGGTCTGTCTGTTTTTGCTATTTATTTAGCGTTTTTGTTTTCGTTTTTGTGACTGTGTGGAACCCACTTCAGCTACTGATTGATTAATTGTGTGACTATAGTACAGGGGTTGGCAACCTAAGGCCCATGGGCCACAAGCGGCCCACGGAGGTCGTTTAACCGGCCCCCGAACCGTCCCTGAATGGAGCCACCCACTCAGCAAGTCCCCGCATGCTGCGCTAACCCAGCGCAGCGTGGCATGGGGACTCACTTCCGCAGCCCTGGAAATTGCGTCTGTGCAGATGCCAGAAATCATGGGCGTGCGCACTCACACACGCGTGTGATCTGGCCCACAAAGGGATCCGCTGGAGTGAACCAGCCCAGGCGAGGTAAACCTTTCTGACCCCTGCTGTAGTACACTGTTTATTGCTTTCATTTTATGGATCAATGGTCTCATTAGATAGTAAAATTCATGTTAAATTGCTGTTTTAGGGGTTGTTTTTAAAAGGCTGGAACGGATTAATCCATTTTGCATTACTTTCTATGGGAAAGCGTGCCTTGGTTTGGGAATGCTTTGGTTTTGGAATGGACTTCCGGAACAGATTAAGTTTGAGAACCAAGGTACCACTGTACAATACAATACAATGTAGGAAAATCTGCAGTGCTCCTTCCATAGAAAATGCACGGTGGAACAAACATAATTTTAACCACCGGGGTTTAACGGAAATTGTTGTTGTTGTAACATAACGGCCGTTACCTAACAACCCAAAAATGCAGTAGTAGGCTATTGCATCGTACCGTATAGAAACCAAGCAAGCAAACAAACAATAAATAAATAAATAATAGGAAATGGCAACACACATATATAAGCCAAGACTTTTATATTTCCCAAGCTGACGTGGATGGTGAATGTTGGACATCTAAGTCCGAAACATAACAAATAAAATCCCACAAGGTGATACAAAATTGTTATGTATCCTCCATCCCTCTGAAGACACACAATTTATGCCTCACTCCACCCCACAATAACTAAAGTGTGTAAATTCTTATACCACAAAGACAAATGTTGGTTTTTCAGATCTTCTAGGTTACTGAAATCCTAGCTGCAGCTATCGTCCATATCAAAAGTTCTTAAAAGTGTCAATGAAAAGATTTTTTAAATGTTTTCACTACCAAGCAAAATTCCTTTTCATTTCTCCAGGACTTTGTACTATGCTGTCCTTTAAGCTATAATTGTTTAGCTTTTGGAGTTCTTTTTTAAATTAATAATATTCTTTTGCATATTCTAATTGATCATTTTCTCCTAAAAGATTCAGAAGGCTTTGTTTTAATCACTTGATCTCTGTTTTGGCTCTGGATTTCGTAGCCATCTGCTGCTTCTTAATCTGAGCTATTGATTATTAAATTTGTTTTTGCTTCTGAAGTCACACACAGAATGGGCAGCCAATACAGTGGATGCTCAGGTTGTGAACGTGATCCGTGCAGGATGCACATTCGCAACTGCAGTGTTTGCAACCCGCATCTGCGCACGCGCGGGTTGCGATTTAGCACTTCTGCGCATGTGAGACTGCCGAAACCTGGAAGTAACTCGTTCCGGTACTTCCAGGTTTTGGCGGTTCGCAACCCAAAAAATCGCAACCTGAAGCATCTGTAACCCGAGGTATGACTGTACTGGTGGAAAAGAAAACTGCAATGCAGGGCTGGGGCCAAATCCTGCCCTCTAAGCATCTCTGCCTTGCCCTCAGAATTCTTCCCATGCCAAGCCACTTCCTCTCTGATCTACACTCTCCTCAACTGCTTTTGGAAGGCTGAGAAAGTGTCATTGAACTGGCGATGCTTCTTGTTTGCCTGGGGGAAAGACTGGAGAAATTTATGAATGGGAGGGGTGTATAAAATTTATCCTTTCACATGGTTGCAATGTTGATTGCAGTATAAAGGTGAGAGTCATCCATTGCTCCACCAAAATTTGGCTCTGGTCTCCACCTTCCACTGGCATACAGGCTTTGGAAGTCTAGGAATACAGTGGTACCTTGGTTCTCAAACTTAATCCGTTCCGGAAGTCCCTTCCAAAACCAAAGCGTTCCCAAACCAAGGCGAACTTTCCCATAGAAAGTAATGCAAAATGGATTAATCTGTTCCAGACTTTTAAAAACAACCCCTAAAACAGCAATTTAACATTAATTTTACTAACGAGACCATTGATCCATAAAAGCATTAATCAATGTACTATACTATAAAATAAATAAAACAGTATTGTAGATGACGAAAATTAAAATTATTATTATTTTCTTACTTGCTCTGATGATAGTCATTGTATGGAGGGGGGACTTTTATCCATTTCCACAGTCACACAATCAATCAATCAATCAATCAATCAGCTGAACTGGGTTCCACACAATCACAAAAACAAATTAACTGAAAAAGCCTCAAAAATAAAAACGCAAAATAGATAGCAAAACCAAAAACACCAAATACAGTGGTACCTTGGTTCTCAAACTTAATCCGTTCCAGAAGTTTGTTCGACTTCCGAAATGTTTGAAAACCAAGGCACGGCTTCTGATTGGTGCAGACACCCCAGAAACAATAGCTGACAGCTACATTGGACATTCGGCTTCCGGAAAACGTTTGAAAAC